ATCTTTGCCAATTCTTGCAATTTCCAGATGAATGTAGGCTGCTTTATTTCTTTTGTCTTGAGATAGTACACTTTTTATTTCTCTATTCTTCTGCTACCACTCCTGATCTCCTCTGTGTGTGTGTGTGTGTGTGTGTGTTCGCGCGCATGCAGACTAGGGCTTGAACTCAGGACCTGAGTGATGTCCCTAGCTCTTTTGCTTGCTTATTTCTATACCAACTTTATCTGTAGCTCCACTTGGTTAATTGGAGATAAGACTACCCTACCCAGGCTGGCTTCAAATCAAGATCCTCAAAGCTTAGACTTCTGTGTAGCTAGTATTACAGAAGTGAGCCACTAGTGCCTGGCCTTGTCTTTAATACTTATTGTGATAACATTTGATTAGACAAATACACTCATAATTTAATGTTTATTTTCAAATGCCTCTACATAATAGAAATGGATTCTTGTGCTGTAGATTCAACAGTAAGGACAAACAGCAATTCGTGTCCTGACTAATGTGGTATCTTGAGGGTTGCCAAAGAGAATAAATGAGACAAATGAATTATATAGCATATTTTAAGAGAATATTATATATATATATTTAGGATACTGATAGGACACCTTGCAGTTTTGTGCAGCCTCAATAAGGGCAGTATTTGAACAGCAATGTTTTCATGAAGATTGTCACAGAAGATTAAAAAAAAGGAAATCTAAGCCATCTGATGCAAGAGAATTCTAGGCAGAGGTTGGAACAAGGATAATCCTCTGAGTTAGGAGAATATGTGATATGTTTGCAGGAAAACAACAAGCCCAGTTAGGTTTTACAGGATGAATGTAGTTACAGAATGGTTTTGGCATTTACTATGAGTTAGAGGGGCCATGGGAAATTCTAAGATAGAATAATATAATTTGAATTAAATGTAATATTGATCTCAGCCTTGTTTTGAGAACAGATAAGAAGTAAGGATAAAAGAAGACTAGTTTGGAGATAATAATCTTTGGGAAAGATGATTAAGGATTCTCTCCATCAACTTTGGTAATGTATAATTGCCAAATAAAAATTGTATATGTTCACAGTTTACAATGTTATATCAGTGTATTATGTATGATTGTAATGTTTTGTACTCTCATTTGATACCAAGGAGGCTCACTCAGTAGAAAAACTCTCTGCCATAATGTTTTTATATATAAAGTTACTTCATATAGTTTTCTAATATGGGTGCTGAAAGTATTTAACAATCTATCTTTTCTTTTCTTTTGTTTGTCATGGGGCTTGAACTAAGGGCATGGGCATTGTTCCTAAACTCATATGCTCAAGTCTAGTACTTTAACACTTTGAGCCACAGTGTCACTTCTGATTTTCTGGTGGTTAATTGGAGATAAAGGTCTCATTGACTTTCTGCCTGGGCTGGCTTCTAACCATCGTCCTCAAATCTCAGCTTCTTGAGTAGCTAGGATTACAGATGTGAGCCACTAGTTCCTGGCTAAATCTATCTTGAAAGAAAATTTAAAAATACAGTATTAACTACAGTTAACTTTACTATACTTTCTTAATCAGTACCCACTGCTATATCATAATACCACTTATGAGGAAATCTATGAAGAGTAGAGACATAAAATCAAGGCACTGACTGACTCACTGTCTGTTTAGGGTTGTTTGCTTGTTCCAAACTGTGGCCTCACTGCTTCACTTTTACATGATAGATGGTGGAAAAGAAAGTTAGATCCCTTCAGAATTTTCTTCTACCAATACTCCTTATATTTTGACTCTTTAATAATAACTATTCTAGCAGGCTTTAAAGTATATCTCATAGTAGTTTTGATTCACATTTATTTCCCTGATGATTAATGAGGTCAAAATATATAGTGTATCTTTTCAAGTATCTTATGGGGATTTACCTATCTTCTGTTAAGAAATGTCTATTCAAGTCCTTTGCCTAGTTCTGATTGAATTGTTTTCTTGCTATTGAAGTGTTTGAGTTCATACGTATTTTAAATATTAACTGCTTATCAGGTTTGCAAATATAGTTTACTATTCAGGTTTTTTTTTTGTCAGTCATGGGACTTGAACTATGGGCTTGGGCACTATCCCGCAGCTCTTCAGCTCAAGGTGAGCGAGCTACCCCTTGAGCCACAGTGCCATTTCCAGTTCTTTAGTGGTTTATTGAAGATAAGAGTCTCACGGACTTTCCTGCCTGGGCTGGCTGTGAACCATGATCCTCATATCTAAGTAGTTAGGATTACAGGTGTGAGCCACCGGCGCCCTACTACTATTCAGTTTTTTTGTTTTTTGTTTTGGGGGGGGGTCCAGTCGTGGGGCCTGAACTCTGAGCCTGGGCACTGTCCCTCAGCTCTTCAGCTCGAGGCTAGCACTCTACCACTTGAACCACAGCGCCACTTCTGGCTTTTTTTCTGCTTATGTGGTACTGAGGAATAGAACCCAGGGCCTCAAGCATGCAAGACAAGCGCTCTACTACTGAGCTACCTTCCCAGCCCCTACTACTCAGTTTTTTTTTTTTTATCTCTTTATTATCACCTTCCACTGCTCTTAATATAGTGTAAGTTCTTTGTAACTTTATTTTATAGTGTCAGATATAATGTCATGATCAAGACAACAGTCAAGAAGCATTTTTTCTATAGTATCTTTGAACAGTTTTACTGTTTCATGACTTTGAGTTTAATTGCATTTCAATGTTGAGATGATTTTTGTTCAAGGTCTAATATAATTATGCATATAGGTATCCAGCATTTTCAATATCATCATTTGGAGCAAGGATGCATTCTAAGTATCGCTTCTTGTCACCATTGTCAAACACTAATTATTGTAAATATATGCATTTATTTCTTGGATTTTTTGGGTATTTAAAAAATCTTATCAAGATGATGTACAGATGGGTTGCAGTTACATAAGTAAAGTACTGATTACATTTCTTGTTTAACTTGCTACCCTCTCCATCATTTTTCTCCCTCGTCCCTCTTCCCATACTCTCAAATTGTACAGATCATTTCCAGCATATTGTCTTCTGAGTATCACTGTTGCATAGGTTCCCTCTTTGTCCTTTGGCTCATTATTTTGTTATTCCCCTTCACTTCTCTAGTTCTGATAAACATATATAAAATAACCAGAGTACCTAAATTGAATACACTGACAACAGGGGATAGACCATAGGGCGAAGAAGATACAAAAGAAACAAGAAATCACATAGTGCATTAAAAATAACAACAAAGGAAAACCTCTTGTGTCCATGTCTTGGAGTTCATTTTGCTTAGCATCATCTTATATGGTCATATGTACATAGCTATTAAACTATTCTCCTCATCTGCTAAGATGGTCCTAGATGTGTACTAATTATTACAGATGATGGAAACCACGAGACCTATGTTTCTTTGGGTCTGGCTTACTTCACTTAGTATGATTTTTTTTGCAATTTCTTCCATTTCCTTACAAATAGGGCAGTGCCATGCTTTCTGATAGAAGCATAGAATTCCATTGTGTGATATATATACCAAGAAGTGGGATTGCTGGGTCATAGGGGAGCACTGTGTGTAGTCTTTTGAGGAACCTACATAGTGCTTTCCAGAGTGGCTGAAGAAATTTACACTCCAACCAACAGTGTAGTAACATTCCTTTTGGCCACATCCCCTCCAACATCTGTTGTTAGATTTCTTGATTTGTTCATTTCTTCATTTGTTCAGTTTCAATCATCTCTATCTTTATGCTAGTAACATGCAATATAGACTTACAGTGCTTTTTAAGATCAGATATTACAATGTCTCCAGTTTTTATGACTTTTCAAGATTACTTGCATAAATCTTGAACTATCAATAATTACTTTAAGTATGAGTGAATTATATTCTTCTTTTTAATTGAAAATTTTTATTGTGAAAATACTGTACAGAGGGGTTACAATTACATGGGCAAGATAATGAGTACATTTCTTATCAAGCATTGTAGCCTCCTCCTTTGTTTCTCCTTCCCAGCCCTTCCCATCTTCCCCCCGACCCCCCAATCTTCCCCTTTCACCCCCCATCCCTTCCCCCACCACCAAAGTTGTAAAGTTCGTTTTCGACATAACGACTTGTACATCTCATTGTTGCAATGGGTCCGCCTGTATCCCTATTCAAATGATTTGTTTTTCCTTTTCCTCTCCACAAATTATACCAACATCAAATACAGTGAAAGCAGGGGTTATACTGTGGGGGAGGGACATACAAAGCAACAAAAACATAATCGTATAAATGTGTTAGAAACAATCCCAAGAAAGAAAAAAACATTTGAGTACATATCTTAGGGTTCATTTCCCTAACATCACCTTATCTGACCTTTTCTGCTTGACTCAGACAAATACTAGATATTGCAAATAAGGGAAACCATGGGACCTATGTTTCTTTGGGCCTGGCTTACTTCACTTAATATAATTTTTTCCAAGTCTTTCCATTTCCTAACAAATGGGGCAATGCCATTCTTTCTGATGGAGGCATAGAATTCCATTGTGTATATATACAATGCCATTCTTTCTGATGGAGGCATAGAATTCCATTGTGTATATATACCACATTTTCTTGATCCATTCATCTACTGAGGGGCATCTGGGTTGGTTCCATATCTTACCTATAGTAAATAGTGCTACAATAAACATAGTCGTGCTGGTAGCTTTAGTGTGGTCTTGTTTGTAAACATTTGGGTAAATGCCCAAAAGTGGGATTGCTGGGTCATAGGGGAGCTCTACGTGGAGTCTTTTGAGGAACCTCCATACTGCTTTCCAAAGTGGTTGAACAAGTTTACACTCCCACCAACAATGCAGTAAGGTTCCCTTCTGTCCACATCCCCTCCAGCATCTGTTGTTATTAGAGTTCTTGATTATAGCCATTCTAACTGGGGTGAGGTGGTATCTCAATGTTGTTTTGATATGCATTTCTTTTATGGCTAGGGAGGTTGAGCATTTCTTCATGTGTCTATTAGCCATCCTTCTTTCCTCTTCAGAGAAGTTTCTCTTCTTTAATTAAAAGATATATAATGTTCTTGCTTCGGCAGTACACATGTTGTTGGAAAGATACAGAGAATATTAGCATGGTCCCTGCACATGGATGATACACAAACTGGTGAAGTGCTCCATATCAAGGTCATTTTGTGGTTGAACGGGATTAATAAACAAAGTTCTGATGGTATGCAGCCTGCATGATATGCATTTTTGCCAGAAGTACAGAAACAGGCTGAAAGCAAGTAAATTGAAAGAAACATAGAAATATAGGTCATAAGAATAGGAAGCAAATATATCACGGAGTAAATGTAAGGTATCTCATCCAAAATCAACAGAAAACAAATTCTTTTTAAATGTATACACAATGTTCTCCAAGGGAGTTTGTCAGTAAATCAATGAAAAAAAATCTTAACAAATATAAGAAAGTTGAAATCATACTAAGTATGTTTTCAGATCATAAAGGTATAAAACTAGAAATCAATAAAAGAAAGACAATAGGCATATTCACAATTATGTGAAAAGTAAATGGCAATCTAGAACTACCAGTGAGTCAGAGAAAAAAATGAAAAGAGACCAGGAATAATGGAAATATTATATATCAGCACTTATGGGACACAACAAAATATGGTGGTTTAGCCTGGTGATAGCAGTAAGTGTATAGAGAAATGTTAAGATTCAGGATAGGCTTTGCATTAGTGTAAAGAGAATTTAACTTTAGATTAATATTTTTGCTTGGAAGAAAGGCTCTTTCCAAGGATTTTAATTTTAATAAACAAACTCCTTATTTGACATTAATTGAGACATAAAAACAAAGCAAAAACAAGCAAATAATTATGCTACTTAATGCTGACAGGTTAAAGTCTGATAAGACTGAGGACTGACATTTGGGTTTATGAATGAAGAATTATCAGTATCTGTGATAGATGAACTTGTGGCATAATGATAGAGAAGAAAGATTGACTCAACTCACAAGAGAAAGAGTATAGACTTGGTAACAATGAATAGTTGACAACTCTGAAAAGTTTTTGTTTCTGTTGTTTTATTTTCTTACATTTACTATACTGGGGATGGAATGCAGGGCATCTTTCATGTTAAGCAAGGGTGCTACCCTATCTGAGAAGTATTTGTTTAAAAGGAACAGAAAAATGAAGAGTGGTTAGAAGGATTGGGAGGTCCAAAGAAAGCTGTTTTGATGTGACAAAGCCAGTTAATTGTTAGTATTCATGAAATAGGAACAAAAGTATTATCAAGTAGTAAATGAAAAGAGAGACACTTGGTCTGAGGGTAGAGGGTTATTAAAAAACTAGAGTAGGACAACATGTATGGATCACTTAGAATAATATTGGGAAGGAGAGAAACAATATATTACAGGACTACCACTCCAAAAGGACTAGACACAGATACGTAACTAAAGGGTTTATAGCATTCACTTTTGATATCAAAGTACTTTTGGTTCAGCTTTCTTTCCTATCATCATTAGATCTTCAATAGCATCTTCTTGGATTTTTATCTCAGATTAACTTTACAGATGAAAGACTCTATTCCATGTCAGGTAAGTAAACAAAAGTTAATTTCTATTTCCTTGGTCTTTTTCTTTCTGTTTCTCTTGCTCCCCTCTCTGTTTGTCATTCTATATCTTCCTGTCTCTCACTCTTCCTTGTCTCTCTTTTTCTCTTGCTCTCTCTCACTATCTCTCTCACCATCCCCCATACACACTTTCTATGTGACTATTTTGACAGCAATCCTGCTGAATTTCTCTTTGTAACATCTCTTCCAGGTTTTACATTTATTATTGTGTGTTTAGGTGATTTTTTTCTGTGGTTCTATTGCCTCAGGTTTTCTTATACCCTCATTATCACCTTGACTGTTATACTATTTCCTAACCATACTCACTGCTTTTCATTTTCAAATAAGACTAATAGTATTTGGCTCCAGTTTAAAAACATGAAATATATTTTATTGTCATTTTGATAAATTTTTAAACAACATAATCTCAGCTGACTTTCCTGGTCTCCTTTTACATATTGCTTTCCCAAACTCTGCCTACTATAAACCATCCACATGCAAACCTATCCATGAACACTATGTGCTCTTTCTGGAGTGAAGGACCATCCAGTGTACCTAGCTCCACCAGCTCTTCAAGGGAGAAACATTTCGGAGTTATTTGTTTCTTATCTTCTTACTGGCACATTTGTTTCCATGAGAACAGCGTTTTATTTTATTTTTTTCTATATCAATCATGTCTACAGGTGTAATTGGCTTCTTCAAAATACATGAAGATTACCTTCTGGATGAAGAATGACTCTTTAACCTACATGAGTAGAATTTTGAATATAACAAATATTTCTCTCAAGTATTTTGCTAAATTTAGATGTCCCATTATAACATTTCATATAAATCTTCAAAGGATTTCTATTTTTTTAACCTAAAAAATCAAATATATTTTGAAAAAAATCTCCATTTGCATATGAGAAAACATTAGAATGAAAGGAAATGGTTAAATAAACTACCTAAATCTATTGGAGGATAAGTGTAGTAAAGTCAATGTTATTCTTTTTTACATGGAACATAAAATAATTTTGAAACTTTATTCTTTTTTATTCATTGTTATTGTAAAAGCAATGTTCAGAGGGATTATGGTTGCATAAGTCCAGTAATGAGTATATTTCTTTTTGAACAGTATCACCCCTTCCTTTACTTTCTCCAAGCTTTTCCTTTCTGTCCTCCCTCCCTACACATAAGTTGTATAGTTATTTTTTAAGACAGTATCTAGTGAATATCACTGTTGCATTTGTTTACCCTTTGTCCCATCATTTCTATGCTTCTTCCTTACACTCCAAAAAACAGATAAATTTACAGACACAAGGACTTCTAGTGAGATAATTTATATTAACTTGAGGGTTAATGTGTCTTGTTCATGGCTACAGAATATCTTTTGTTAGTGCAGAGTAATCATCTTGCTATTTTAGAGTCCAACAAACCTGTACTAAAGTTTTAGCATAACCATCAGTTTATCTGAAAGTAAAATGGCTATGTTCCATATAAGAAAATATATTATAACTTAATGAGTTGCACAGAAGAAAAGTAAAGTAACAAAGTCTCTATCCCATCTTTTATACCCACCCAAACTAGAAATGAATATAATTCATAAAGTGTTAATATCCCTATGTGTGTGGTGGGTAGATGGATTGGAAATGAGTAATACTAGCTAGTATTACACTCAAAATTCTACAACAGGGTCATCAAAATGGTGGTAGTTTTTCTCATTCAACTAGGCACTGGTAACAACAGAGGGAACGAAAGTTAAGGGACACGTGATGACAAAACCAAGTTTGATTGATTAAAGTTAAGATGCCTTGCTCAGTTCACTTCTCTTCTAATCATTTTTGCTGTGAATTAGAGCTTTTTTGTTTAATTCTATTCTTATCATAAGAAAGTTGGATAAACCTGTTTATGAATTATTCCTATTGAGCATTTTTCATGTGTCTGAGGCCATTTGTATGTGTTCCTTTGAGAAATGTCTATTCTGGTTCTTTGTCCACTTTTAAATTGGGTAGTTTGTTTTCTTTCTATAGAGTTGTTGTTGTTGACATTAAAAAAATTGATTTCAAGTATTCACCCTTTAGCAGGCATATGGTTCATACATTGTATTAATATCAAAGTTACTTGGTCTCAAGCATTCACTGTTCCTAAGTCTCCTTCTGAAGCCGACAGTTTTGCTTGAATTAAACTTTTTCTAAGCATGGAAATAGAATATATATCTTAATTCTAGATTTGTATAAGAGGCCAAGGGGCCATTGTGGTTAAGTTGGACCAGATTTTCTTCATGGTCTCCCTCCCCTCCTTCCTCTCCCCTCCCCTCCCTTCCCCTTTCTTGCCCTTCCTTTCTCTTCCCTTCTTCTACTTTTCTCAACCTTAATTGACTTGTTTTCTTGGTTGGTGCTCTAAAACTTGTACCTCTATCCCAGCTTTTTGCTGATTATTTTTTGACATAGACTCTGCTAGACCTTTCTACCTGGAGTAACTTTTACCATAGCTATTATTACAATCATGAACCACTGCACCAGCTTTTTTCTTAATATATTTCTTTATTTTATTACTTCAGTTAGTTAGGTTCTATGTCATCTGTAATAGTATAATGCATCTGATGTTTGTGGGAATGTAAATATTTTAATGTCTTTGATTTGTTTTGAATAATGCAATCTATTTCCATTATGTAGAACCATTCCTACTCATAGATGATCTTATCCATTCAGCCAAGGCACTCACATTCAGTCTCCTCCAAAACCCAGAAATAATGCTCTGCTAGCTATAGGTATTCCTTAATCCACTCAGTTAACGTCTAAATTGTCCTTCACAGTGTCCCAGTATCTTGCTATTTTATTTCCATCTATGATATATGTAATGCTTTCCTGACAAAACGATGTAGTATATCAACCTTGATAGAAACTGTATGCATCTTAAGGATTTAATTTTGTTACTGTTGAAACTAAGGCATTTTAGAGAAACTAAATGATATCTATATGTATATATTTCAAAACTACTTAAGTAACCCTTGTGTAATTTGATCTGTAATTTAGTGTAAAAATGCCATTTTTTTTCTGTTAGACTGTCATTATATTCTTACTTTTTCTTTCCTTTCTCTTCTTTCCTCTTCCCTTCCTCCTCTTCTTCATTCCTTTTTTCATCCTCAAATATTTGTTACAAAGCTGGTGACTCACACCTAGGATCTTAGCTATTGAGGAGGCTGAGATTTGAGAATCTTGCCTGAAAGCCATCCAGGAAAGGCAAGTCTGAAAGATTTTTATAAACAATTTAAAGGCCAGAACTAGAAGTGTAGCTCAAATGGTAAACCATCAACTATGAGCAGAAAAGTTGTACAATAATGAAAGGCCTTGAATTCATGCCCTAGTAGCAGCACATTAAAAGAATAAGATTTCTGTTCCATCATTTTTTTTCTGCCTACTCTTTTTATACTTCTTATGCCTTTAACAATTATTTTGAACATGAGAATGATCCCTAAAATCTGCTCTGGCTCTACTTTCCTGATCCAATGACTTCTTGCTCTATGCCACCACATCTCATATTTTGGCAGAAACAGCCTTAAATCAGGCCACCTGCTCTTGCCACCTCTGCAGTAT